CATGTATCATATAATTCCATTTATGTAATTTTCAACAGGCTAAATTGCTCTATGGAGGAAGAAGTCAGAATAATGACCACCTCCAGGTGAGGAAAGAAGACCATTGATAAAGGTCAAGGTGGAGGACTCTGGTTCTAGATTTTTATTTGGTAGTGGTTTGTGCATTTTACCGTATGGTTGTAATATCTCATTCAAACTATGAACAGAAAATTATCATAATGACACATATTTCTATATTTAAAAGCTTTTTTTATTTTTGTTTCTTTGTGGTATTGGGGATTGAACTCAGGACTTTATACATGCTAGACAAGCACTCTACAACTGAGCTACATCCCAAACCCCCAAACCTTTCTTTTAAAACATACTCTTAACACTTCTACGGAACAAAACCGTTGGCATAAATCTCAAGCAGGTCCATTTTAAGGAAGAGATCATAATAAAGCTGAGAATCTAAAAATTCTAGTTTGAAGATTATGTAGCATAATATTCATTGGGCATTTAAAACCTTTTTATCTATATATGTCTTATTTCATTAGGTGGTTAGTTCCTTAAAAGCACTACACATCTCAAGTCTCCTATAGCACAGGGCTTGGTTCAGAGTAGGTGGTTCAATGATTTTTTTCTTTTTCCTTTTAAAAACAAATTTGTAGCTGATGCATCATTGATTTTCTCTATCCACGCAATAAAGATTTCTTTTAGCATTTATGTGGAAGGTATTTGTTAGGCCCTGGGCATATTGTAATGGGTAGGTGCAGGGCTCAATAAATTCCTGTTGATAATTGATAATTATCAGCTGTATATCTCCTCAATTCCAAATAAAGGTGCACTACAGGTCTTATTAACCCTGTTGTAAAAATGAGGACACCAAGACACAGAGATTACACATCTTGCTTAGGGTCATATGCTTATCATGAGTAGAGTGAGGCTTTAAGACCCCTGCAGGTTCTTTCTTGGGCTGAGATGCTAAGGGAATTCATTAAGATTGACTGAGGTTCATATTTCATTTAAATACTCTCATTTCACTTTTGCTACATCTACATTCTCTGACTCCTATTTCAGGACTTGCAGTCTGAATTGGTTTACTTCCACTTCAGACACTGTCAAGATAAATTAGATACCAAAGGTCTATGACACCATCTGAAGCAGAACTGCTATTAGAAGAAAATACATACGCAGTTTTATATTTCAATATAGTATAGCAATTTTTAGAGAACATACTTTCTACTAAAAATATAAGTGGAAATAATAAACATGGAGAATTTTGAAAGTTAAAAAGATTAAAATTTGATTTTACTGTCCATCCTCAGGCAAGTATAGCCAAGGAAGGTAGGTAACAGTAAATATTTTTATCTCTTTTCAATGCATCTACAAACCATTCTACTGAATAAGATCTGACAGGTTCCTGACTGTGAGTAGAGATAGGATAACAACTCTGATGATACATAAACTAGCATCAGATACAGACTCCATTTTGCTGTAATCATCCATCCATAGCCTAGACTGCTCAGATGACAAGGCATGTTATTAATAAAGCATCTTGTACTGCAAGTGCATTGCCCTACATGGTGTTTATCTTGTTGGAAACTGTAATTGTCTGAAACAATGGCCCCACTGAAAAGATGTGATATGTTTTGAGCTGTGTAAAGATCAAAATAATTTATACTAATAATGGTAGTTGTGAAGAATCAAAATATGGGCATAGAGTTAATGCTGCATAAAGTAAATGACTTGGAATTGCTTTTAATTTTTATTTATTTTCTAGACCCTGTAAGATAACCCTGAACTTTGAGCCAAGTTTATGGAAAGAACAAAGCTCCTCCATCAGAATGTAAACTCCACTTTGGTTTATTCACCAGTCTGCCAAGCATATGGTATAATACTGGGAAGGGAGGCAATATTTAATACTTGTTTAATAAAAAAGAATTAATATGAATATAGGACAGAAATGGAACATATTTCAGGTTCAAGCCAAGCCATTATCAGAGTTCCTCCAAGATGTAAGTCAGAAAAATAGAGTGGGACTCATTCTCCAAGGAACAGGGACTGGTAGGAAGTGAGAATGTGAAATGGAAACAGCCCCCACACTGCCAAGTGACTAAGGATACCACATGGCACTACCATGCTTCTAAGACAAGAGAACCTATAGGTGTACAACTAAGGTAGCAAAGGATAAAACATACCCTTGGTCCTGCCTCTCCATCCAATAGAATCTGGATGTGTTCTTGTATCTTTCAGTCTGACTTTCCTGGAACAATAAAGGGGCTTCAGTTCTGATCCTTGCTAATAGAGGGCCAAGTAGAACAGCATGCATGTGGTTTAGGAACCACCATTAGGCACAAGAAAAAGAGCAAGATTTCAGGTAAATAGATGGATGGAAGGCCAGGTCTTGAAATGGAGTCCAGTTACTCCTCTACTGAGAAAGTAAAGAAACAATATGGCTGAAAATAGAACAACTTAGAAGTGATGGAGAGAAGAAACAAACATTTTGAGGTAGAGGAAAAGAAAAATGAAAAGCCTGTGGGACATAAGCCAGAGCCAATTTTCTTTTTCCTTTTCTTTCAGGCATTTGTTACAGTAACTTTCTTTCTTTCTTTTGCTGGCAAAAATAAATGTTGTTTGGATTATACTGTCCCACATGCTGATTTCTCTCCTCAGCATGAGGAATAGATTATTAGCATGGTTCCTGTTACAAGTAATGAGTTTATAATGGATATGTGACACAGTTCTGTCCAATAGGACTCTAGAAAGATTGTCCCTTCCTTTCTATGAGATAGAAAAAGAAGTAGAAGAATGTATCCCTCTTCCTTGCTGAATGCCTGACTCTGTTTGATGCCTAGAAGTGTTGAAGTCATGATAGGGAGATAACAGGAGAAATTACCATCTGAGGATGGCAGAACAGAAGGAAGAAATCCACTTTGGTCCTGGACAACATTCTTGACTCACCCGGACTGTCTTCCACAAAACTGATTTTATGACATGGGATGATAAATTCCTTTTTTCAAAGCCATGCCTCCAGTAAGGTTTCTTGCATTTTTGTTGGTACCTTGATCTTTTCAACTAAAAATAGGAGACATAAGCCTTTGTTGTGAATGTGAAATGTGGGTTTAAGACATTTGAAACAGATATTTTGGTTTTCCCTGCACCCTCCTTTAGTCTTCTTTCTCCTCCTCAACTGCTAGTGGACTCAGACCAGGACAAGGAGAAACAAAAGCACTTCTTCCTTTCAAAGAGCCTTTGTTCCTGGCTCCAGCTCAGTGTTTGGTTCCCTCTTCCCTAAGGATTTAGCCTGTCGCAGAAGGTTCCTCAGACACTCTAGGAAACAGGCTCTGGGGCCTTGCCTCATCAGTTTCACATGTCTGATCTCCAAGTCACCAATGGGGACCAGGACCACAGCATCATTCTGTAACTTATCTAGCAATGCTTCGCACCCTTGAGCAGAAATACTGTAGACAGAGAAGGGAAATGGCCAGAAGTTAGTGACGGGCATTGGTGCTGGAATAGCTGAGGGTCTGAGAATGCAGTTAGCGAGGTTTACTAGATTATAGCTCTTATAAACAGCAACCAGTTCAGAACTCTGCATATAGTTAGGTCTAAACACATGTGCTTTGAATTTAATTGAAATGATCAGATTATAGGGGAAGGTCAAAAGTTTTCTTCTGCAGAATCTACTCTTCAGAGTCTTTCAACTGCATCACTTTCTCCCCCTAAAAATCAAACCTTCAATATTTTCACTCAATTATTTAAGTTTATTTTTATAACACACTTTGAGAGACAGGGAGTGATAAGAATAGTTTTATTTAATTTTTCCAGAAAGAAACAAGACACAAAGAGATGATCTGACTTGGCCACCATCCCAGAGGGCATCCGTGTCAGAGATAGGATGGTCCCTAAGTCCCCAGGGCAATCAAGCCTTTGTTCTGATGTCCCTGTATGTAATTGTTTTGATAGCAATTTCCCTGGTTCTCTCTCACTAGCCTGCTAATCACGCATGTCAATCACATTCAGGAACACCATGGGCCTAAGGGTCAACTACAGTCTCAGGAGAATGTAATTCAAAAGAGAAAATAAAGCAGTATAGTATTTTTTTTGTTGTTGTTTTGTTTTCCTTCAAGCGTGTATGTCAGTTGTGGCTTCATAAGTCTGACAATGTGTGAGGAGAAAGGGGTTCCTTTTTTTTTTTTCCCTCCCCATAGTTGAAGAAAGAAAAGGGTATATCAAATGCTCTGGCCAATACTTACACCAAGTGAGAAATCCACCCACATAAGATCCTCTTACTAGAGAACATTGAAAGAGTTCTCCACCCGATCTCTAATGAACCAGAAAGGAAGTCCCCTTGTCTTCCTCTTCAAAGACACATCTCCATAGCTTCACTCTACAGCCTAAAGATGGTGGTAGAACATTCGTGTAAATCCTCCCCTTCTCCTACAAAACACTTGACCACCTCTCCCCATTTCACTTTCACTTTCGAGAGCAGCAGCAAGGGGCCCAGGGTTCAGGGTCCAGGTCCAGCCCTGGAGAAAGCCGGAAGGAGCACCCCGACTGCGGGAGGGTGCCAGATAGAGCAGCGCAGGACTGGAGACTGGGGAGTGCAAGGTGTGGATTCTGGAATGTGCGGATGCGCATCCCTCGAGCCCCGCCCGCGGAGACGATTGGCCGGGGGCGCGCGGCGGGGGAAGCCCTCAGCTAATCTCCTGCCACTCAGCCCGACCGACGTCGGCGCGGGGCCGCAGCGCCGCGGACCTCTGGCCGGGCCGGGCCGCGCGCGGAAGGACAAATAGTCCCGGCGACTGCCCCGCACGCCCCTCCACGACTGCGCTCGCCCCGCCCCGCTGTCGGGCCCAAGGCTTGGGCGGCGGGAAGTGGGGGCGGGCGGAGCTGGGCCGGGCTTTGCGGCTCCTCTCTTCTGGGCCAGTCGGGTGGATTGCGCTCCCCAGGGAAAAGTAATTGGATTCCGGGCTCCCTCCAGCCGAGATCAGCGGAAATCGGCAGCTGAGCCTGCAGCTTGGGAGGGGCGGGTGGGAGGAGGGGAGAGGTCGGGGAGTGGCCGCCTGGGAGGGAAACGGTGAAAACGCCACTCGCCCCATAGTGTGCGTCGTTGTCTGCAGGCCTCAGCCGAATGCTGGGTAGTAGAGAGGGATGAACAGAGATGCCCCTTGGTGCCCCTTTTTCGTCTGGCGTGTGACTCTTGCTTCTGAATTGTCATCCTCACTGTGAAATTCATCTGGTTGCTGATGCTGGAGGAGACAAATACTTGGGGAGCCTGGAGTCTTCAGCCATCCTTCAGCATTTCTTTCCAAGTTCTTGGAGGAGCTGAAGTGAACAAAGAAGCCTTCAAATCTGGAATTGGGGATTTCTCTTATTAACGAAGTAACTCAGGAGAGTACAGCATTCTTACCAGAATCGTCCAGGAAAGTATCTCAAGTTCTTGCTTTACCAGTGGCAAACTTCCCTAAATTCGGTTTCTCCTGAGGAGATAGATCACCGTGGGAGCCTTAAGCAGTTTTTGTTTTTGTTTTTTTTTTTCCCCTTTTGCTGAAATGATAGGAATGTTCGAGGAATTTTAAGTGACTTTAACTCAACCCTCTCATGATGTTTTTTTTCTTTTCATCTCATTTACTGTAGCTCACTCATTTGTTTTATTGAGAGTTTTCTATGTGCCAGCCCCTGTTCTACTTATTAGGGGTACATCAGTGAATAAAAAGCAAAGCCCCGCACTGGGACTTCATCATAGTTGCTACAGAGGAGGACATTGGCAAATACATTTACAAACAGATATACAATACAATGTCACGTAGTGTTAAGTGTTATGAACAAAATAAGGCCACGGGAGTTTAGTGGCGCACAATTGTAAGCCCACTGACTCAGGAGGCTGAGGCAGGAAGATCATGAGCTTGAGGCCAACCTCAGCAACTTAGCAAGGCCCTGTAAAAAAGAAAAAAATATATATATATATATTTTTTTAAATGACTGGGAATATAGCTCTGGTAAAGCATCCCTGGGTTCAAGCCCCAGTACCATTAAATACATAAATAAGACCCAGTAGAAGGACTGAAAAATGCAGGTGGGAATGGTGTACTACTTTATATTTTAGATAAGTTGATCTAAGAAGGCCTCTCTGAGGAAGCTATGTTTACACAAAGACCTAGATGAAATGTGGTAGAAAGCCACACAGATGTGTGGAGAGGGTACTTCCCAGGCAGAGGGAAGAGCAAATGCAAATACTCTGAAGCCAGAGAGTTTGGTGAGTATGAATTAGAGTACAAAATAGGCCAATGTGAATCCTATGTAGTGAACAAGAATAGTTGGGAATGACGTTGGAAGTGGGCTGATGGGTCTAAGGCCAAATAGACCATGATGTGTGTGGGCTTAGAATTTGCTTTTGACATCATTTAAAACTAAGCATTTTATTTATTTTTATTTATTTATTTATTTATTTATTTATTTATTTATTTTAAGAGAGAGTGGGAGAGGGAGAGAGAATTTTTTTAATATTTATTTTTTAGTTCTCGGCGGACACAACATCTTTGTTTGTATGTGGTGCTGAGGATCGAACCCGGGCCGCACGCATGCCAGGCGAGCGTGCTACCGCTTGAGCCACATCCCCAGCCCCAAAAAACTAAGCATTTTATGCACAAAAGTGTTCTGGATTTCTTCCCTGTGTCTCTATGGGGGCATTAGATCCATTTCATTCAGATGCCCCCTTTTTCTTCCTTATCTCTGACAATAAGTATTAGTTTCTGCTTTTGTGGCATTCATCTACAATTATTGCTTCCATGCAGACCCTCAACTTTAATGTTACCTTTGTTCTGCGTTGTATACTCTCATCTTTAACTATTAATCAGCATTTCTCATTGGATATACTGCCATCTCCTTGATTTCATTAGGTCCCGGAACAACCTAAATATCTTTCCAAAAATCATTCCCTTCTTTCTCATTGGTACCACTGTTCTCTCTGCCACCCACACTTGAGTACTCAGATGTCATTGTTGACTCATTCTTTCTCTTTATTCCTTTTGCCCAGCCAGTTGTCAAAAGCTTTGATTTATCCTTTAAAATGCCTCATGTCAAATCCTGTCTTTTCTCTGTTATATGGTCTCTAAACCCTTGAATGTTGCCAGCCAGGATTAGTTAAACAGCCTCTATATGGTCTTTCTGACTTCCTTTCTCTCTGTGCCAATCTAACCTGCCAGAATAATTGTTCTAAATCTTCACTTCTAGCACATTTCTAAATGCCTAGGTAGCTTTGTAGTTATATTTTCTTTTCCATGAAATCTGAACTCTAGTGACTGATATTCAAACTTTACCTAGTTTTCTTCTACCCTGTGAACCACAATCCTTTTGAGGAAAGAAACCAAGGTCTCACAAGAAATACCTTAATCCCTTTAAAGGGTATACCCTCAGTTGCCCAAAGACTTTCCCATGAGGCCCCATCTTTTAAAAGTTACAAAGCATTTCCCAATACTGCCATCCTGGGGACCAAACTTCCAAAACATGAATCTTTGGGGAACATTCAAACCATCTCCAAACCATAGCAGGAATTTCTGCCACCAAAAATGTACTCACATCTAGGTACCATAGATAACTTGACATCCAAGATAGCAGGTGATACATACCCTTCCCATTATGCAATAATATAGTTCTTCATGGTCTAGTAATCTAAGGTTACATGATAAAATTATCTAAAAACCATTTAATAGAAAATGGCAGGAAAGGAAATGACAACCGCAAGGAAAACTCATATTAGGGAAAATGAATAACAGTAAACACACAGTGGTCTCCAATTCATAGCATATATTATAGATTACTAGATAGGAATAGCAAAGGCTTTCTAGCATGAGAGAAGAGAAGATTCTTCAGTCAAGCAGTCTTGCTGCCGTGTGTTCTATTCTTGGAGGACCTCATTCCTATTGTTCCTACATGGCCATATCTGTGATGGACAGTGGGGAGGATAATCCACTAAGGACCACATCTCTTAGCATTCTTTTTCTTGGTCCATGGGGATTTTAAAAAATCATTTGCTATGGCAAAGATAACTAGCTTTTACCACCAAATGGCTGTGATGCCCTTCTGTTGTATAGAGTTGTTACTAGAAAGTAGTTCCTAGCTAGGAACTACTAGGACAACTAACTGTATAAAGAAGAGATTTCTTTAGCTCACAGTTTTGGAGGCTTGGGGGCATGGTGCCTGCATCATTCCCAGTCTTTAATCAGTAAAGTTATGTGGCTATCTACATTGGAATGAGTTAAAGTGTTGTGTATCACTTTTAACAAATGTGCTTAAGATTCAGGTAAGCCTTTTCCAGTCTTTTCTCTCATTTCTCTGGGAAATGAGACCATTCATTAAATGGTCTCTAAGACCCTTGAGTATAGCAGAGCCATAAGGTGAAAGAAAAGGTGTCTGAACAGCCAAGTTGACTTTCTAAAAGACTACCTGCTGATTAGGAGCTCTAATATTGGACTTTGCAAAAGTGAGAAACATACACCTATTGTGTTAAGCCATTCAAACAACTGAGTTACCTATTATGGCAGTTATTCTAAGGCTGAGTAACCTATTTGTTCTCTAGACTTAGTGCATCTTCACAATAGTAAACTGCCTATTTGCATCCAGCCAATTCCATGGGGGAGAAATTCCAAAGCCAGAGGTTTTCTCTTCCCCTATCCCCATATTGGGGGTTAAAGCCAGGAGTGCTGTACCACTAAGCTATATGCCCAGCCTTTTAAACATTTTTAAACTTGAGACAGATCTTTCTGGCTTTGAACTTGTGATTCTCCTGCCTCAGCCTCCCGAATAGCTGGGATTACAGGCAAGTACCATTGTGATCAGTTTAGCCAAATGTTTTCTAAAGTTTTAGTATTTGAATCTAGAGTCCAACATAGGTATTTTTGTTTTTTAGCAACAGTCCTTGGTATTCTCCTAGCTTGATGGCCTCCATTTTGGTTTCTGTCTGAGAACAATTTGAGACTGAGCTTTCCAACCTTTTATGGTTAGATATTGAAGTTTCATCATTTTCATTATAACCTATAAACAAAAATTGCCACTCATAACAAAGTGGTATCTTTTCTTTTCTGCCTTAGATAAATCAAGTTCAATCCTAAAGTTGACTTTTTCTCATAGGACATTACCAAAAACTAGCAAGTAATAGTTTATTTATTCCAGAATCTGACCTTTAAATAACATGGTCTTTTATATATTTTATTCTTGATAGGCACATGTTCTGAATCCTAGTATTTAGTAGGTATTGTTTTAACCTATTGCTTTTCTATTTAATTCACAGTGCAGTATAGATGAATTATCGGAATTATCCGGGCCTTATCTGAATTAACTGATTCAGCATTTTTGGATCCCCAAAATGCTGATACCCCCACTCCTAGTACCAACATAATCCTCACTACTGGCACCAATATATGAATTGTTAGAGCTATGTTAGTGGTGAATGACAATAGGAAACAACTCAAATTGGCTTATGCAAAAATAAAAGAAATTTTAAAAATTAAAAAGAAAAGACTATATTGGCTGTTGGCTCACATAACTAAAAAAACTAGTGATATATTTAGTTTGAGTCATAGCTTGCTCCAAGGGCTTAAGCAATGTCAGTAGAATTTTATTCCTCTTCATCTCTTGGCTCTATCTTCTGAGTTGGCTTCATTCTCCGTCTCCATATGGTGGTTTTTGGCAGCTCCAGTTCACATAATTCTTACTGTTAGCAATCTCAGTGGAAAAGTGCATGCCTCTTCCCCACAGGGGCCTGCAATAGTCTTACATTTCACTGGCTCTGATTAGGACACGTGGCCAGAAGAATCCAGTAGGTTGGACCTGATTCACATGGTTACTCATGTTGCTGAGAGTAGAATCCACTCCACCTAAAAGACACTGACTGAGCGTAGTAGAGGAGGAATGTCAAAGTATGGTTATCAGAAGAAGGGCAAATGGATACTGAGTGGCATAAACTCCCAGATGTCTTTCATTAGATCCACTGTGAGTGTTTTCTAATTGCTTCACATGTGTTAGTTTTATCTCCTTCACTGAACTGTGTCTCAGGAGCAGGATCATGTATTATATGTCTTAACAGTGCCAACCCAACAGGCGATACTGCTGATTGATAGCCTCTTCTTATATTACTAAAGATTGCACACTTAAGGAGGATAAAGATAGCTTAATAAAGGAGATGATTTACAGAGATATATGAAGGGTTAAAGGAACCAAGAAGGGATGGTAAAACATTTAAGGATTGACAACCATGGGAGGCCTAAAGGAGAAGAGAAAGGATTGGAACTATAAAAGTGGTAGCTTGGAAGAGGATGCCCGACAAAGGCTGTGACTGTCAAACAGATAAATGTAGCCATTACCAAAATATGGCCTGGCAAAGGACCAGGAGACAAACATGTATCCTCTTTTCCTTCTACCCTCCAAACTTCTCCTGGTATCTCCCCTTCACCAAACTCAACTAGAAAATGGAGCTTCGGCGGTACAGTCTATAAATTCCTGCTTCCAGTATAAAGCAAGACAAATAGAGTGAAAAATGGATCTGGAGGAGCAAAAGGAAAATTACCAGGATGCCTCTATTATGTTCCAGAAAGCAACCCTAAATAAAAATAATCCCTATTCTGTGTTTACTGTATTCCTTGGATTTATCTGGAAAATAAAGTTTTGCCCTTTTCCATAATTTTGTTAAATATATAATGGATAATGGGCATTTTAAAGAATTTAACATTCATGAATTCGAAGATCATAAAAAGTCTTTTGTAAGCCCATGTAGTTAAAAAGCTATCATTGTTGTATTGATATGAAACTCCACAAGAATATTATACCTGGCAATCCATCAGAAAGCCCTGGCACAGCACTTGTCAAATAGTGACAAATGTGATAAATGTTTGATGATTTGAAGAATGATTGAATGAATAAATTAAAGCATTTCAAACCAG